CCCGGGGGGGGGGGGCTCATACGCCGGGCTGAGCACAGCAAAGGGGTGCGGGAGCCTGGTAGCTCGGAGGAGACTGTTGGGGTTCCCCAGGCCTTCCACGTGGGTGGCTGGGTGTTCCTGGCACTGTGATGGCGTGGGTGCCATCACGTTGTCAGAGGAGCTGTTTCGTCGTCTGGCAGTAAGTTGCAAGCGATGGTGTTAAATCTGTATAACAGGAGGTTTTACTCCTTTCGTTTGGAGATACTGTAGGTATTTTCTGCACCGTGTACGTTTACAAAGACGATTTTGCGCATCTCGTCAGCCCTTTCATCTGGGATGTGAGATAAAGGCGTTTGATGGTGCAGTTCTTAGGGTATCCTAAAGCCCTGTCTTTTATTATTGATTAGAAGATGGCTTAGGGTTTTTTTTTTTTCCTCTCTCCAAGTAGAAGTGGTCCAAGGGGAAAGTGAGAGACAAGTTGAACAACCTTGTCCTGTTTGACAAGGCCACCTATGACAAACTGTGCAAAGAAGTGCCCAACTACAAGCTCATCACACCTGCAGTTGTCTCAGAGAGACTGAAGATTCGAGGCTCCCTGGCTAGGGCTGCCCTCCAGGAGCTGCTCAGCAAAGGTAAGCGCTCAAAGCTGTGGAAGACCAGAAAGCAGCTTGAATTGGATGTTTTCTTTTCCTTGCTCACCTAGAAGATTTCGTGCTGCATCTGAAGTATGCAAATTGGTGTGTTTTTGACGAGCCGCTGCCTTAGCTTGCATTTCAGAAGTGCTCCAAAGTAAGGAGCAGCGGCTCTGCTGCATTCAGTGGCATTGCTATACTAAGAAAATTCTGCCAGAAGGACGGGTTGTGAGGTAACGGCTGCCAGACCTGAACAAAAGCCTTGTATAAGCGTGCATAGTGTTGGGTACCCTGGTGTTTCTTATTGCACGTTGTCCCGTCTGCTGCTTTAGAAGAGAGCACAGCGTCCTCCAGTACGCGTGCACTCATATAATTTCTGTTTTTCGTAGGTTTGATCAAACTGGTGTCCAAGCACCGAGCCCAAGTGATCTACACTAGAAACACAAAAGGTGGAGATGCGCCTGCCGCAGGGGAGGACGCGTAGGGAGGTGAGACAGCGGGCTCTGTGAAGGAGCTGGGTTGTGCTTTGTCAGGGGCTAGCAAACGGCTACACACCACATAACAGACAACTCCCATGTTGCTTTGGATGGGCCGTTCCTCCAGATGTTCAGAGGACGTCGCTCGCACTCCTGAGCGACTTCGTGGGTGGCGTTACTGGAAACATTGGTTCTCCAGAATTAAAGAGCAATTTGTGATTTTGTCCCTGTTGCCTGGCGGATGGGGAAAGCTGTGTGTGCTCTCCCGTCTCTCTGGGCTGCATGGTCCACAGGCACGTGTCCTCCCTGCTGTCGGAGGGCACCGTGTCTAAGCGTTCTTGTTGGAGCTGAGCTTTCAGACAGTTTCCTTTGCGCTAGCTTGTTTTGACCTGATTGTCTGATTTGGGACTTCTTGCTTTCCAGGTTCTCCAGTGACCTCGTCAACTATGTGTCATATGTAGATGCACGCAATAAAATGATTGAAATAATTTTTCTTGCTTTTTCAAGAATGTGTACGTTTCATTATTGACGCATTAGTGATAGTGGATTCTGGTACAGGCCACGGCCATCTTCCTCTAGCAGTGGGTTTTTGCATTTATACAGTGTTACAAATGTACCATGAACACGCTTTTGTATTGCGAAAAGGGAATGAGCTTTGGCATCGCCTGCAGCAGCCAGCCAGTGATGTTAAACCATATTCGGTTCTAGTAGGAGGAAAATTGAAGCCCGTTTCTTGCATTGTAGGTAGGGAAGGTGCTAGTGGGATATTTTCATTATTTATTTAAACTCCTTCTAACCAAACCGTGCCCACAGATCTCTCTGTGTACAAGGCAACAGCATCTATCAGGTCAGTGTCCAGCGGGGAAGCATAGATAAGCAGCTCTAAATAAGGCTGTACGTATTTTATTTAAATTAAAAGTAACAACTGCCCACAGCAAAGGTCTTTAAGGCCTCCTTTCTTCTACTGAGGACTAATCGGTCGTCCTTTAGGTGAGGCAGAACGAGTGAAAGTAATATAAATTAGAATGAAAATATCAGGAGCAACTCATCAGTTGCCCCCAGAGCAGGCCCTGCACCTGAAGCGAGTTTCAGTTGGTCTACCAACACAGGTAAAAAAAAAAAAAAAAAAAATTATTTCTCATAAATTCCTTTAACGGGATGCCATGCTACATGTCAGCGTAGGACACGGGCAGCACACGCTGTACAAGGTAGGCTTTCTGATTATGAAGATAACACCATAGGCAGGAGACCTTCCTTGCTGGCAGGATCTGCCTTCGTGTTGCTTAAGACTTCAGAAATCGATGCCCAGATACACACTGCGTGTCCGTTACAGGGGAAGTGGATCTGCTGCGACACCCCCTGGCAGAGTAGCTTTCAGTAACAGTGCTCAACTCGGTATTATGCTCTGGTCACCCTGCCTTCCAGGGGTGAACACATCTGGATGTACGCATTAAATAAAAGCGCTAACTTGGCAGCAGCAGCAGCACCAGCAAAGCTGCAGCTACCTACAGCCCACCCTTCCACAACGGTCACAGCTTGGTTTCTGCAGCGCTCCTCTTCTGATCACCTTTTTTTCTTCTTTTCCCCCGATTCAGTTCTGAACTGATGCCTGAAAGAGAGCATAGAAGTCAGAATGCAACAGCCCTTAGGGAGAGGTAATGAACACTGCCTCACCTAACAAGTAAGACAGTGCTATGCACAGTGTTTTAGATCGGAAGCTCACTCAACGATTTCTTTTTCAGTTATCTCAGCGAGCTGTAGCCGTCTCTTCAGCTAGCTGACACAGATTTCTAGCATATTACAAGGCACCGGCGGGACAAATGTGCGTATATGCACCAGTACGCGGGTCTGAAAGGTGAGCCAAGCTCAACAAGGCGGGCACCTCTGCGTGTGCGGCCTCTGCAGTCGCGACCATGCTTCAACTCGCAAGTCACGCGTGCTCTGCCTGGATTGAGCACCGTGTGGCATAACGCATTCGTGCGGTGGTAAGACGCCTCCTTACGCTTGCTGCTACCGCAAAGCCCGCTCTGTGAGTAGCTTGTGTGGAAGGAAGCTGCACGCCCTCCGCTCGGCATCAGTCCATGCTGCCCTGAAGCTTACCTGGACTGCCACCTCCTGCCGTGATTCCAAACTCGCCCGAAGGAAGGGAGCCAGCTGTCGCCTGTCTGGGAGGTATGGTCAAAGTTGGCACCCACGCGCTCCGCTGGGAGCTTTTTCAGCTTCTGCTTCTCCTCTAAAAATAGATTTTGTTAAGCGAAAGTTTTTCAGTCAAATAGCTTTTGATTCTTTAGTGCGGTAAAGCGAACGTAAGGTTAACTGACATGTATACAACCTACTCACTTTGTTTGAGAAATTCCTCATACGAAGGTCCAATTTGTTGTTTACTTCCATCCTCTTCCTCTGTTAGCCATGGAGGTTTTGCTCCTAGAAGTCACGGGGAAAATGTATTTAGCCGCTGAAGTTATCGTAAGCTCGAGATAGGGAAAAGCATCCCCTCCACCCCCTGTCCCTGCAGCTCGCCCTGCCAAGTAAGTGGCGAAGGAAAAGTAAACTTGGGCTTTGTAAGAAAAAGAAGCTGGCTTGCCTCGGTTAAGGCCGTGGCAAGGTCACACCCCAAACCATACACTCCACACAGCAGTAGCACCAACAGTTTTCACAATACGGAACTGTTTTCTTCTCTAGTATGTCAAATGTTAGCAAAAGAGCGAGCACCTCCCGGTTATGCTGTAACTGCTTCAAAATTGCTTTCAGTTATCCCTGTTATATTTGCAAGCCAAGAGTTTTCAGCAGCAACCAAATGAGTCACGAAGCAGGCCTGATTACCTGTGTGAACGTTTCCTTTCCCTTCTGTTTCCTGTTAACAGAAACATAAAACACCAATGAGAAACTGATGCTTTTAAGAATCTCTCTAAAGAGAATGGCATTATGTGCATTCCCTTCCCGTATCAAGTTCTAAGGAGCGTTTGGGTTTTCTGTGCATGTTAAAGAACGTTTGCTTCATGAAACACAGGTCAACACTGGAGGACTGAAACTCTCAGCTAGTTGGTCGCCTGAATCTGCAAAGCTGCCTTTTTCAGCGACAGAGACTGTGACCCCTTGTTTTGCTCTGGAACACACGCTATATGTAACTTGCAGTTACTTCAGTCACGCTCATTAGCATGTCAGCCCTACCTGGTGGCCAATGAAGGTCAAAGCCTGGCCTGATTCCACCCAGTTTAAGTCAGGTCCTGGCTGCATCCCACTCGGGCCAGGCTGCTCTGCATCGTGAGAGGAGTCCCTGGAATACAGGAGCCAAGAGGCAGCCGTCTGAGAGGTGAGTGACTGTCAAAGCCGGGCAGGCAAGAATTGTCCAGAGGTTTCTGGAGCAGAATTTGTATTTGTGTTTGGAGAGCTTTGTGGTCAGAAGGAAAAGGAGAAATGTCCTTGGGGGCACGATAATGTTAAACACTTGCACGTTATCACTGTGCTCGCTCCTTAGGGCTGGTAGTGCTTACCTACGGAAGTGTGGACAGGAGAGTAATCTTTCTGCGGGATATGGGCTTAACAAAAGCCTAGAGGAAAGTTTGCGAAGGATCTGAATGAAGGCAAGATCCTGGTGATGACAGCGTCAACTCTGGCAGCAGCAGCAGCAGCGAGGGAGGAAGACCGCTGCTGTGGCGTGGTCCGGCGTTTTGAGCAGGGTACGGGTTAGCAGCAATTTAAGGAAAATGGTTCTCACCTTTCGGGTCCTGCTGGGGGGCTGCAGACAGAAGGTCCTGCGCAAAGCTCTGGCTCTGTTTGAAGCTGAGTGTGATTCAGGAAAAAGGAACAATATTTCTGGTACTGAGCA